GGAGGAGGAGGCCCCCGAGGAGGACCCTGCCTGGGGACAGGGACCAGCCTGTGTCCCTCTGCCTGGGAACACAGATGGAGCCCACCTGGCTGGGACAACCAGCCCCCAAAATGTCAACCCCAGCCTGAGCCTGGACCCCGGGGCTGAGACCCCAGCCCTTGACCTTCACCTTCACCTTGACCTTGGGCCCCTGGCCCCAGACCTCCCACCCTGGCTCAGTCTGAGCCCTGGACCCTGACCCTAGGCCATGACCTTGACCTCAGCCCTGGACTTTAGACCCCAAACCTTGACCCTGGATCATAGACCCTCCCCCCAGACCTTGACCCTGACCCTGACCCTGGACCTCAGATCCCAGACTTTGAGCCCAACTCTTCATCCCAGACCTGACCCTGGACCCAGATGCCACATCCCAAACCCTGACCTGTGACCTTCCCCCAGACCCTGACACCAGCCCCTAGTCCCACCAGACCAGCCTGTCCCCAACCACCACCCTGAAGCCACCTCAGTGACAGAACCCGAGGGTCACAGCCCCATCCTGCATCCCGAGGTGAGGAGGATGGAGCTGCTCTGTCCCCATCCCTGTCCCATTGTCCTCACCTGCCTCCTTGATGAGCTTCCGAGCCTTCCTCTCGCTGAAGGAGGAGACCTGGCAGGGCTGGGGGTGGCACAGGGCCTGGGCCAGGCCAGGGAAGGGGACAGCCTGGCTGTAGACTACCATGGCTGACAGCTCTGGGGCCACCTGTGACGCCTCCTTGGCCTGCAGAAGCTACCAGGGTGTCAGAGGTGCCTCAGCTCTGCTGGTCACCACCTGCCCGAGGCTCTACAGCCCTCCCAACACTGCTGGTGCTGAGCCCTGAGACCCCCCAAGGCCATGGAGACCCCCAAAGTGATGGAGAACCCGAGGCAATGAGGTGATGGACCCTGAGACGAGGGAGAACCTGAGCAGGTTGAGGCCCTGAGGTCATGGAGAGCCCATGGTGGTGAGGCAGCCGTGGTGATGAGCAACCCCAGATGTTAGAGAGCCCAGGGTGATGGGCAACCCTGAAGTGGTGGCCAACCCAAAATGATGGAGAGCTGGAGGCAACGGAGAACTGAGACGATGGAGAACACCAGCCCCAAGGCAATGGAGACCCTGAGGAGTCACCATGGGGGTGATGGAGACCCCAAAAGTGATGGATGCCCAAGGTCATACATAGAGTTCCCAAGGCACTGAAGACCCCGAGGTGATGCAGACCCCACAAATGGAGCACCCAGCCCTGGGGGGGAGGCACAGCCAAGAAGTCCCCAGGCTCAGTCCCCTCTGCTGGGCAGTGGCAGCTGCTCAACCCCCCCAGAACCTGCCCCCAGGGCCCACCCAGCTCCACCCACCACCCACCTGCAGAGGTCTGACCTCTGGCAGCAACTGCAAGAGGAGCGAGCAGGGACCTGTTGGGGGGTGCTGGGATACAGGGGCCTCCTGGGTCTCTGTGGTCCTCCAGCACCTCCAGGACACCATGGTCCTCCAGCACCTCCGGGACACCATGGTCCTCCAGCAGCACCACCAGGACACCCTGGTGCCCCAGCACCATGACCCTGGACAAGCCCCTTACCCGCCTTCTGCTTCTCTCCTGCAGCTTCTCCTCCTCTTCCTCCTCCTCCTCCTCGGGCTCTGGCAGGGAGGTGACACCCTGGGGCTCAAGCCACTGCTCTGGCAGCTTCTTAACCT